GAATTTTCTGAATTTTTGCAGTACCTTGGAGAACACATCCCGGTCTCGCAAATCTGAAGCAGAAAATGATAACTGCAGACATAATGTTTTTCAGAGGAAAATAAATCCAACAATTGAGCACTCTAAGTATAGCGAGTTAAATAGCACAATTAACAATGAACAAATTCTATAAAAACAAATCCATAAAATTGATGAAAACATTCAATATTCGCTTTCGAGATGAATATAACATAAGGTTTTGATGATGCTAATGGTTCGATTTTTAAAACAGTTGATTCAAGTCAACATGAACATAGCAGCAAAGCTACAGTAACTGAATCATAGAAATTTATGGAGAACCTCGATCTGAGAGTAGCCACCGTGGAAGCCAGTTTTCTTTAAGAAGTGGTCAACGGCTTCGTCCTGGTTGCTGGTAGCAGAGGCTGCGGAGGCTGCGGTTCCACCCACCGCAGCCATCCCGCCGTCCACATCCGAGCAGCAGTTTCCCATCTCTGAGCTCACTCGCTCTCAAGTGATTGTAATTCTCCCCGTCGGCGGAAGCGATTTTCTTTTAAAAATCCGAAGGATTTTTCGTAACTTGTTTCGGCAGGCTTAGAATACACAACAAATATACATTTCTTTAAGGGTAAATTTATTTTATTTTATTTTTTTAAAGTAAAAGTTAAGTTTTAATCTATTAATTATTGAATTAAATTTATTTATTATATTAAATCTAATGTAAAATTTAAATTCTTTTAGTATACTTTATAAAAAAATAATTTTAACCTTTGCTCTCGATGCACAAATTAAAAAATAAAAATAAAAAAATGGTGATGGCCCACTTTTTTATGTAGTCTCCGTCTTCTGAAATTAAAAATAAGAAAAAAGCTTATTTAAAAAGCGGATATCCCAAAAGAAAATTTATTGAAAAGCGCGATTCATTTATTTTTGGCAAAACCTTACCTAAAGTCCAATGCTGTTTCCATTTTCTTACATAACCCCTCAAAGAAAAAAAGTAGCATGCAAGCCCCTAAGATTTTGAATTTAAGTAAATTAGCCATTGTGTTAAGGGTAAAATCATTCGTATGGTCATGTAAATTAAACAATTGTGTGTTTTTTTACTTGCTTGATAATTCCTTTATGCTTAGATATTGAAGTGATAATTATTTTACACTTAAATATTTACTGCATAAAGATTAAAATTTTTTAAAATTAAGAATAAAATGATTAAATTTTATATCACATCAGTATCTAAATGTAAAAAAATTATTGTATAAACAAAAATACCAATGACTATTTAACTTGCTTAACTGCATATGATTTTATCATTAACATAAAGATTAATTTGTTCAAATTCAAACATTTGAAAACTTACATGTCACTTTTTTCATTGAAAGTTTATATGAAAAATGAGGAAAGCATAGGGGCTTAACACCACTTTTTGCCCCATTTTTTCAAATTACAAAAAGACTACAGTCGATTCGTCCTAGTGGTTTTATATTTGCGATCTGGATCGAAATGGGGAAGGTTCCAAATTTTAACCCAACTTTCCTCATTTTCTGTCTTCTACTGATTAGGTATGAATTAAATATGAATATATTTCATTATTTCAAAAAAATATTTTACCCTTGGAACTGTATTAGGTTTGTAAACATTAATTATAGAAGATGACAGTCTCTAATAATAAGTGCTATCTCCTTCATTCAAGAGAGATACTTTAACTATATACATTATAAAAGATTAAATTCTTATAATTTTGTAGTGAATTCATGTACTTTTCATCTGATCTATTTTTTGAATTAGTGAGTTATGCATCACACAGACATTTCTAAACTGGAGAAAAATATTTCCAGCCGGCTACATGATCATCAAATCTTAGTGGTGGGCACAATTAATTATAGAAATTTAGTTGAATTAATATTTATTAGTTTTAATTTGGAATATAACATTAGGTAAAAAAATTATTGTTTTATAACTTAAATTGTATTAAATTATAAAATAAAAACTATTAAATGAAAGATAACTCTTAAATTAAAAGATTAAACTCCATTTCATGATTAAATTGTGTAAATCAAACAAAAAAATTTTTAAGCAAATAATTCCTAACTTATAATATAAATAGTTTTTCAAAACACGGATGGACGGTGGCCAAAAATAATAATAAAAATCATATGGTAAGCTAAGGTTTTGGAAACTGGTATGCTTCATTTTGAAAATTGCATAAGAATATTTTTTTTTACTAAATTGGTGAAATATTATTAAGTAAATTATTTGTAACACATGATATTGGAGATTTTTGTGTTGAAGAAATTCGATTGGAAAAATCAAGTCCAATTAGTATAATTGTTTATTTGTTAGAAGAGATCGTGGAGTGGGTTACATTATTGTCTCTAAAATTTCTTTTTTCAGACATATAATAGATAAGATTGTGCAAGTATATCACTTATTTTGTTCAAAATAAGAAAGAGATATT